CTTTCTTTCTTTCTTTTCTTTTCTTTTCTTTTCTTTTCTTTCTTTCTTTCTTTCTTTCTTTCTTTCTTTCTTTCTTTCTTTCTTTCTTTCTTTCTTTCTTTCTTTCTCTTTCTTTCTCTTTCTTTTTCTTTCTTTCTTTCTTTTTCTTTCTTTCTCTTTCTTTCTCTCTTTCTGTTTCTCCATCTCTCTTTCTCTCTGTAACATTAGCCATGAACATAAAATTAGTCTTATTGCTTATCTTTGATGTATTTTCTCTGTATCCTAATTTATAATGTTGCCAATTATAATGGTCAGATTCTAAAGAAAGTGTGATCAATCTCCATCTCAATGAGATTTTGTCTAGCTCATGTATTGTAATGACTTGTTCTATATATAATTCAATGTGATGGTGTTTGATGAGTAATAGATCGGATCTATTATATACTTTGACGATTTGATGCTTCTTTCTCTCTTTTTTCTTTTTTATAAATTCTTGGGGTTTAGAAATTATATATACTCATGCATCATTTAATCGTCTACAAATAAGCAGATTAAAAGTGTGACTTTAGATCTAATTACATAAACTCTTCCCTCCTCCACCACTCAACAATTTTATACATTCAAGAATGTAATCACCTTAAATATTTTGTTTATATTTAACATCCTCACTTCATATGAACAGATGGCAAAATCTAGAACAGTAAAGAAGACAAAAGATTATTCTGTAGAGAAGATGCATTAACAGAAAAGTTATAAAATAACAAAAAAGAAGCATTACCATTTTAACATTAAAAATTCAAGGGAACACCTAGGCACACTTTGAAAGACATACTAATATTTAGTAGAGTCATAAACATTGCTTTTGAAAGGAAGGAAACTCTTCTACCAAATGACATGTTAATCCAATAGAAGTTTAGTATAGTAGAAATATAAATTGAAAATGCAAAAGAAGTATTGCATCCTAATAAAACTCTGTATAGAGACTTTATTTTTTAAGTCTATTTATTAAAAAAAAAGCACAAGGGAGACTATATTATTATCTTCTGAAGGTGATGTGGGAGTACCTTGTTTGCAATAAGATCATAGGAAATTTTAAGGGAGGCAGATATGCTACCAACATAACCAGCAAATGAAGAAATCTGGTTACATGCCCAGATGTCTATAATAGCCCAGGAATCACACAGACACCCAAAATACCCCAAAGTAAAGAATTTTGTTTTATAAATTCCATAAGCTACTATGCTGTCACATTCATTTAATTTCCTATGATGAGTAGATACAGTAACGTCATGTTGAAATTTAGGTTAATTGAGCTCTTTTAGACCAGGGATACTCTGTCCTTCATACCTTTACAACTCAGTGCTTGGCACAGTGCTTTGCCGAGAAGTGTCATTTTATTAACTAATAATTAAATGCTAATTTTTGAATATAAAATTAATGTATAGGTGTTATAATAGAAATTTTAATATCTCCTTCTACAGTTGAACTAAGTAAAAAAAATAACTGAAACTAAAAGAATTAGATCAACTTAGGCAAAAGCAGAAAATTGAAGCTAACTTTAATTATTAAGAAAGAGAAATCTGCATCACTGATTTTTTAAAATGTTCTGTTGAAGTATAGTTGATATAAAATATTGTAAAAGTTACAGGTGTAAAATATAATGATTAACAATTTTAAAGGTTATATTCCATTTACAGTTATTATAAAATATTGACTATATTCCTCATGTTGTAAAATACGTCCTCATAGCTTATTTTATACATAATAGTTTGTACCTCTTAATCCCCTACCCATATCTTGTCCACCTGTCTCCCCTCTCCCAACTGGTAACCCCTTATTTATTCTCTGTATCTGAGTCTACTTCTTCTTTGTTATATTCACAAGTTTGTTGTATTTTTTAGATTCCACATATAAGTGATAACATACAGTATTTCTCTTTCTCTGACTTATTTCACTTAGCATAATACTCTCCAAATCTATGTTCCCACAAAGGCAAAATTTCATCTTTTTTTATGGCAAGTAGTCATCTTTTTTATCTAGTCATCTATTGATTGACACTTAGTTTGCTTCCGTATCTTGGCCATTGTAGATAATGCTGCTGTGAACATTGGGGTGCGTGTATCTTTTCAAATTAGTGTTTTTATATTTTTCAGATGTGTATCCAGGAATAGAATTTCTGGGTCATATGGTAGAACATTCTTTGTCTAACACCATATACAAAAGTAAACTCAAAATGGATTAAAGGCCTAAATGTTAGACCAGAAACCATAAAATCCCTAGAAGAAAATAGACAGAATACTCTGACATAAATCATAGCAGAATTTTTAGATTTGTCTTCTAAAGCAAAGGAAATAAAAGCAAAAATAAGCAAATGGGGTCTAATTAAAAGCTTTTGCTTGGCAAAGGAAATGGTCGACAAAATGAAAAGACAACTTAATGAATGAAAGAAAATATTTGCAAATGATATGACCAATAAGGGGTTAATGTCCAACATACATAAACAGCTCATACAACCCAACATCCAAAAAACAAACAACCTGATTAAAAAATGGGCCGAAGAACTGAATAGGTATTTTTGCAAAGAGGAAATGCAGACAGTCATCAAGAAGAGGAAAAGATGCTCAATGTCACTAATCATCAGGAGAATGCAAATCAAAACCACTATGCAGTATCACCTCACACCTGTCAGAATGGCTGTCATCACAAAGAACACAAATAACAAATGCCAGTGAGGATGTGGAGAAAAGGGAACCCTTGTGCACTGTTGATAGGAATGTAAATTGGTGCAGTCACTGTGGAAAAACAGTATGGAAGTTTCTCAAAAGACTAAAAATGGAACTGCCATATGACCCAGGAATTTCACTTTGATTTTCTATGTGACTGTTACTGCATAAATTTATCCATTACAGCTGCACATTTACAAATTACAATGTTCTATGCTAGGCTGAGTTTCCTTTAACTTTAAGAATTTCTTCTAGCTCTTTATGGTGCTTCAACATTCTAGACTCCTACTTCTCTTTGACTGTTTAAACCAAATGAATTGTAATAATATGTTTACACATCTGTCTTCCCCACTAGAACCTAAGAGCAGGACACATGTTCATGTTTTTACACGTAATGCCTGTGATGGATTAAACACTGATGTGTGTTGGCTGAATGAGGCTTCTTTCCTAATGAGGGAGAAACACTTCATTATAGGATAACTTATCTAACCTTAGGTGTAGAAGCAAATAAAAATTCAGGAACATAAGATCAGAAACCCTTGCTTGTAATTTTCACATTTCCCACTCTTCTCTTGATTATTGTGATACTCATATTCACGTCCCACGGCCCCTGTCATAAGCTGGTGAGGAAGTGCTATGATTATGCAAGTTCTTACTTTAAAATTAATAGTAAAATATAAATTGATGCATATTAGGTTTTTACTTTTATTTTTTGAATAAATAAATATTTATATTTGGGTTATTTACTTGGGTAAAAGAGAGCGGTATTTATGGGAGCTTTCAGTTAAAAGGTTTGTATCAAATTTAAAAGTAAACATTCATCATCAAGTTCCTCCATTGCTCTTGAAAACTCCAGTCTCTGTCTCATTAGATGTTATTCTTGTGACCTAATACAGATAAGGGAGAAAAGGACATTAAATGCAAGATCCTTTGACTACTTTTTCGCCAATAGGTTGTGTACAGACACTTTAAAACAACTTCCTAAGGTTCTTCAGCTAGAATGTATGATACTTACACAGTAACAAAGTTCAGTTGTGGTAATCAAACCTTCCCTAAAGTAAAGCCCTTGAGAAACAACACATTTAGATGACACGCAGCTATGTGCGGTCATTATGTAGGCTGCTTAGACCTAGAAAGCAAACTGCAGAGCTTCTGATAAGCTGCTTAGCAAAACCGAGAGTAGAAGCTGTCCCAGCACGAGTGCACCTTTAGAATGAGCGCATATATATATTTGCAAACATTGTCTTACACAGTTTTCAACAACCCTTCAAGATAGGTATTATAATTCACAATTTTGAGGGAAAATTACTTTTAGTCAAAGTTTTTATACTTACTGAAGGTCATGTAGCTAGTAAGCGACAGAACCTGGATTTGAACTTGAAACTGTATGCTTCTAAAAGCTTTTTTCCTCATAGATACTGCATTTACTATATACTGTGGAGCATAATAAAAATGTAAAAATAGTATCTTCAAGATTTAGTTTTTAATTAAAAAAAATTGGGATATAGTAACTGTGTACCTAAATATCCACTGAGTTGTGATTGTTCAGGGCAGAAGAATATGACCTCTTGGAAGGAAAAGTAGGATTTCTCCAGATACAGGTTTCACACTATAAGGACAACATTGTGGCAGGGAACTGGAATTCCAGTCAGAGAGAAGACACGTGAGCAAGGACAGTTAGCTGGAAACAGCAGAGTGTCAAGGAGATGAAAAATAGCCAATACTGACTGTGCAGAGGATAATGCTGAAAAGAATGTTGCAGTCAAAGGACAGAGAGTAAGGACATCAGTTTAAATGGACCCCAACATGGTCTGCTTTGAGCTATAAAATGTCTCATGTTGCACTTAGATCCCAGGGCACCCCTTCTGAATGCTTGCAGGGCTTCCTTGTTTCAGGTATGAATCAAGCTCTTGAACTCAAGCTTGATTCCTACTTTGCTTTCAGACCCAACCTCTGTTTTCTAATGGCCTAAAGCACTTGCATCTTTTCTTTGAAGGAAGAGCTGCAGCCTAGAATCACCCTGTATCCATGGGCCTGAGCAAAACCATCCCTGAACAGCATAGCTAGCAGCCCACCAGCCTGCACTGACATCACTCTGCCAGCCTGCAAGACCCTGCCAGTGTCTGCTACGCACCAGGTAAGTCACTACTAGCTCTTAGTCTTTCTGTGTGTGCAGAATTAGGAGGATATGCTTTGGGTGCAATTTGAAACCATGAAGCACTATACAAGCACTGTACTACCTTCCCCTGGACATAAAGGAAAGGTAAGCGAGGCATCTCTGAGAATTTCCTCTTTCACTCAAACTCTTAAATTTTGATGAAGAGGTTAGACTCAAACTTTTGAACTGAATTTTGAGCACCACATTGTTTTATCACTTAGTTGACTATCTGTTGATTATTTTTATTTAATCCTTTAGATAACAAAAACTCAGAGAGTGAGCTGAGGGACCAGTAAAATATGAAGAGAAAATAAGATCTGTAGTATTGAACAAAATTTAATAATGTGTAAATAAATGGGAACTTATAGGAAGAATGCAAATACCTGGTTGTAAGGTGTAAAAAAATCAGAGTATTTCCCAGCACAATAAGGGAAAACTTCTGATTATTACAATAAGCCAGATATGCTAATTTTGATAAAGAAATCTGAACATGGGACATGTACTTTATCTGTCAATTATATCCTGTGATCAGGTTGAAGCTTTGGCTCTTTACTCGTGATCCTTTTAGGAGTTTTGTGAATTGAGAAGCAAATAGGTTCATCATCAGTGGAGTCTAGAAATTTTAATCTTATCCAAGAGTGATTTGATGTTCCATGTCAGGAAGAAAGTAGTCCTAGATTATTGCCACCGAGAGCTGCTTTCTACTACATAAAGCTTATATTCTGGTTTTGTTATAAATAGAAAGCATCTTCAGAATGTTTTAATACATGTGCAGCGATCCTCTGTGAAGAGGAAGTAAGCATGAATAGTTGTGAACGATTATGTTCTGGGGATAATCATTTTTACTTTGTTATTGTGCACCTCATGCCCCTTAATTTGATAGATAATAGACAGGCCATACAGGGAAACCATATCTATTTACAAACTCTATTTAAAGTTTAAAAAAGTTTATAGCAGTAAAGACAGGAACAGATTCAGATTATTACACAACTCTGAGCAATTCACTCTTCATCACAAACTGCGTTAAATACAAGCGTGTATTTCATAAGTTTATTTGTAAATTTTTATGTATTACATTAAATTTTGCCATTCTGTTTGTCATTTCACTGCATATCCTTTACACTTGAATATTCATTGATTCTTGAAAGTAAGAGTACTTGGCTTACTTTTATGTGATTCTACCATTAAATTTCTTACTTCGAACTCTCTTAGGAAAATATTGTATTTCTGCTCTGTATGCAAAGATCTGTGATTACAGACTTCTTTTTTTAATAATCCCACTCCTTTGAAATTTCTACTTCTGCATATAAAGTTATATAAATCTGTTAAGTCTACAGCAGCTATGACCATTTAACAATGTATTCCATTTTGTATCAATACCGGTTTAATGTTAAAAATTCAACTTGTGATAATAATAATATCCTAGGTGACCAACTTACCCTGTGCCAAGCACTAAGTACTTTACGTGAACTACTTCTTTAATCCTTATAACAACCCTGTGAAATAGGAACTATTTAATCATCATTTTATAGATGAGGAAACTAAGGCACAGAGAGGTTAAATAATATAATTAATAAGGTCACTTGTTAAGGCAGGATTGGAATCCAGGTAGTTTAGCACTAGAATTTGACCTCTCAACCACCACATGATGCTACTCATGATTATATTTCTATGGAAATCAAGCAACTACTTTAAAAATTTATTACAGAAAATAAAGAGCAAATTGTTAAATTGACCCCCTCCCATTTTTCCTGCCAATGCTGAAATCTCCTAATGCTGGGCACAGAACTCTGGAAGCTAAATTCAGCCAGGCTTTCAATCCTGGTTCCCCCACCTTTTGGCTGTGTGAATTAGGTAGATTATTTTTACACCTCTGAGCCTCAGTTACCACATCTGTAAAGTGGGAATGACAGTCACTGAACATGCTTCTCAGGGTGGCTGTGAATGGTTCCTGAGAAAAGCTATTTTTCCATGTGGCTGGCATGGTTGGTATTAAATGTTAGCCATTATCATAGGTTACTAATTGTAGCCAGGTTTTAGAAAACAATGGGTGAATTTTGGATTTATGTGGCTGTGTTTACTGACTTATATAATTATGTTAGTTTACCCTGGTTACCATAAAGAAAGAAATAATTGAGGACATTAAATTGAGAAAATGGAATTCTCATCTATTCCTAGGTGAAAATTGATTTAAATTCCAGTGTTTATCATATGGATGCCTCCAACTTAACTCTAGTAAATATACTAGTAATTATAGTTAGGAGAGGTCATGGTGTAAACAGTGGCAAGGTTATCAAAACATGAACATGGTGGTGGTGGTGGTGACCAGAGCAGGGCAACACCATTTGATTAGTTTATGTCCTATGTATTGCATAAGGACATTATAAAAGCAAATGTAATTGTTATAAATGCATTTATCAACTGAAATGTTTAGTGAATAATGAATAAAATTTTATGCATAAATGCATCTTACACATAAAAAATCATATCTATAAAGGGAATGCTTAAGCTTGCAAGTATTAAATAAAAGATAAAATTCTTATATAAATATTCCTCTAGTGAAACACAGGTCTTTAAATATGATTTGATTAATTCTAATAGAGAGTTTCCTCATTTTCAAAGTTACACAATGAAAAATATGATCCTGCAATCTTGAATCTTCTTTTTCTTTTTCTTTTCGCCAATCATCTTGTGCTTTAATCATCAGAGATAGCCTTTGGAATCTGGTAGGGTGATCATTCATTCTTTGCCCTGTGCTACCCAGTTATGGAGATAGCCTGGATTTTCCTCTATCAGTTACATACTTTTGTTACCTATTCATAACACAGTTTTCTCTGCTACTTCCAATCTCTTTGGTAAATAGCAATTCCAGGCCATTTCTAGACTTGCATTGTGCTTCATTTATTATTATTATTATTTTTTTCTCTTTAGTGTCATACTCAACTTTGATTCTATAGTAAAGTGGATTATCTTCAGGAAAAATCTGTAGAAAGTCACTATATGCCTCAATTAAGTTTAATTAATTTAATTTAGGTTTAAAAATAGGGCTTATTCAGGTAACATTCTGTCATAATCACCTATTTCCAGATCTGCTTATCCTAGAACCAGAATCTTGACTTTTATTTTGAGTAGACCCAGGCAAGATAGTCCATCCATTAACAACACCTATAAGGGTGTTCTAATTTTAGGCTTTATGGAAATATTGATTGAAAATGATTGAACTCACATTATGCAATAAGGATTATTTATACTTTATGACACAGTTAACTTAGGTAGAGTTATATTCAACACAATATACATAGTCCATTAATGCTCCTTCACTGACTACGGGTGGAAACCCTAAGGCGAGGAGGCAGTGTAGCATAGCTGAAGTTCTTTATTATGTGGATTAATAACAGAAGCTTGGCGATGAAAAAGGAATAGAGATTTGTCCTGTCTCTGCTAAGACTTAGTGAGCTCTTTGGGTGTGTTACCATCTTAAACCCTCAGTTTCCTAATTTATAAGATGTGGATAAAAGCAACCCCCTCGTAGAAATGCAGTGAGCAATTGACAATAGAAGACAGATATTAGTAGAGGGTCTGGATTAATCAGCATTCAATGCGTTCCAAATGCTCTTACTTGGGTCTAGGCCTTGCCCTCACCAGTTTCTCCTGGGTGGTGGCTATACGAATGAGCAATGTTGCTTTCTATTGCTTGGTTTTTGTTTTTGTTTTTTATTTTATTCCGTGTTTTATTCTACATGAACATGAATTTTCAATAAAAATTTCAAAGATACACATATTCCATTATTTCTCATGAAACTTCAATGAACCTTCTTTTTCTTTTCTGGCTATAATCAGTGATATGCTTTTCTGATTTTACAAACCAGAAGTATCTTTAACAAGGACAATGATAAAACTGCATTTTTATACTTACCAATACCAAGTTTTCCCAATACAGTAACCATGAAAATGTACTGTTTTGTTCTGCGTTCTTTCCTCCTAAACAGTTTAATGGACTCTATTCAAACACAAACCATTTTCTTTCTTCTTAAGCATTAACTGTAACAGAATCTCATTCTGCATTTTTAATATTTTAGCTACCACTCTAAAATCAGGTTGAAAATCACCTCTACTAAATTAAAGCAAAAATTTTATTGGCAAATAACAATACCTTATCAAGTAAGAAAAGATAAAGTTAGACTTTGTCGGTCATAATATTAAGTTAAAATTTTGACTGCAACTTTTGAGGATTGAGAGAATACTTAAATCATTTAACTAATGAACTGAAAGTATAACCACTTTGTAACGTATTTGATAAACCTATTGTTTAATCTAAAATTAAATATAAAAACAATAAGTTTTAGATAATATTCAATTAATTACTTGAATTTTAGAGTAGTTTATAAATAAAAGTTTGATTCTACATATCAGTAAAATATACATATTATAATTTCTAATAATCATGGTAATAACAGGCATATAAAAATTCAAGCAAATGTCAATTATTCATTCAATGAAATATTTTTTGGAATGTGAATATTAAAATGTCTTTGATTTAAACATTATTTTTAAAACATGATATTTTCTATCAACCTTGGAGATTCTAAGTGGATAATAAGAGAAAACTGAAGAGGTTGAATCTTTATGCTGTTAATGTAAAAACTTTCCTTGAGAGAAAATTTAATTCAAAAATATTATATCAGCTTGTCTACCTTAGTAAACACAACACACTTTAGCCAAAGGGCATCCTAATAAGTACCAATTTTTATTCAACAATGCTGGTTATTTTTATATTGAACTTAGGGCTTACTAAATACAAGCTCCAGGAGGTAGGTATAGCTTACTTTACTGTGAAAGTCTCTGATAATCAAGTTTTTGTTTCCATTTACCTCTTTCTTATTGAACTAAAATGAAGAATGTTCAGCTCCATGACCTCCTGGGCTCAGTGACACTTCTATCTTTTTCAAAAATTAATTAGTGAATCAAAGGCT